GATACTTTTGTGTGTCCTTCGGCACCGTGCAAGGTCCCCGTGTCAGTCCAGGAGGTCCGGGAGCATTGTATCGCTGGGCCCGTGGGCCGATTCGGCCCGTCCCCTCGGGGCTCCTTCCCCAGCCGGGGCTGCAGGGGAGGGGCGGGCTGCACCCTGGCCCTGGCTCGGCTCCCTTCTTCCTTTCCAGCTTCGTGCTGTCTCCCGCCTGGGCTCCTGCCGGGGAGCAGTTAAAGGCCCAGCCGGGCTGCTGCGCTCACTGAGAAGGAATGGAAACGAGTCGATTAGGTTTCATGGAAATCATTTTGAGGGGCCCCCGTCTGGCCGGCGGTGTTTGGGTTCCTGTGCTCCCAGGCTGGGCTGCCAGGTTGATTGTGGATGGAGAGTCGCCAGCTTTCCTTCCCGCAGCCGCCTGGTCCCCTTCACGGCGTGCTTTCCCCAATACATGGACAGCTTATGGGCCCCTGGGGCTCAGCCTGTGGCAGGTAATACTCTGGCCAAGAGCTCGGAGTCCTCTTAACTCGGAACATTCTTCCTTGTTACTGGCTGCCCTTAAATGGTTACCGTCTGTGCAGGCAGCTGAGCCAACTTGGGAAGCCAAGGGCGTCCCAGTCTGCAGCCTTGATCTGTTTCAAGTGGGCGTCAAGAGGCTGTTTACCTATCACAGACCAAGGCTGTTGGGAAGGCCACCCCTGAGGCTGGTGGCTGTCAATGGCCCCAAGACAGACCAGGCACGAGGGACCAGAGAGGAGGGCAGACTTGGCTGATCCAGACTTGGGTTAGACTGGCTCTGTTGTCTTCTCTCTGGGAACTTGGGCAAAATCAGCCTCAGTTTCTTTATCTGCAAAACGGGATGTTCCTGCTTAGCCCCTAAGATCTCTGTGTGGCTAAGCAAGTGAGTATGAGTGGAGGGCCTAGTGCCCAGTAGCTGTCTGGAAACTGTTGTTATTCTTGTGGTGACAGTAAGTGGAAGGGACCAGGAGGGGAGAGATGTCTTTACACAGAGGCTGGGCTTGAGCTTGGTCTGACAGGATGAGTAAAAATAAGTCATTAATAACAGTACCAACAGCGACAATAGCTTTTCCTTTTCCCAAGATCCCCTACATCTATTATCTCCTTGTATTTCCAGATCAACCTTTGAGTGAGACAGGACAGGAACTAGAATCCCCATTTCCAGATGGGGAAACTGAGGCACACCAAGGAAGAGATGGTTTAGCTCATTGCTCCCAGAGGTTGGTATGCAGACTGAAGCTGGGACACAGGTTATCACAGACTGGAACTGAATAACATGGAATCGTGTGGTGAGAGTCAGCCCCTTCTGAATTCTCCTCTGATCTCCTGAGGACCCAGAGAGAATTCTTCCTTCCTCTGGTGATAAGATGCCTTTAACACCTTTCTAATGCAGGGCTATCTGTTTTGAAAGAAAGAGAGAAAATTGTTGAGCCTTTAGGAGGTCACCAGCTGTCTCTAGAATTTAATGGCAGTATTTGTTTTCATTATTTACTTTTTCTTTTAAAAAATAGGTTACTTTTTAACCCTGGCCAGTGTGGCTCAGTTGGTTGGAGCATTGTCCTGTGCACTGAAGGGTCTTGAGTTTAATTCCAGGTCAGGGCACGTACCCAGGTTGTGGGTTCAATTGCTGATTGGGATGTGTGCAGGAGGCAACTGATTGATGTTTCTCTCTCACATCGATGTTTCTCTCTCTTTCTCTCTCCCTCTCCCTCCTTCTCTAAAATCAATAAAACAACAACAAAAACATATCCTCAGGTGAGGATTGAAAAAGAATTTTTAATAGTTTATTTTGTATAGAAATAGAGCAGTAAAAAACCGTTTTACATAAGAACTATTTGTTATTTAGTTGTTATGCTATTTATATAAATATATAATTATACAAGATATATACTATAGCTATTATAATAATAAGTGTAAATATATTTATATAAATAAAATAATATCAAAACTACCCGCTGCATCGCCGGCTCATTTTTGGAGTTTTGCTCTGTTTATGCCAGTCGATCCTGATTTTTCTATCTGAAGTGGTGATATAATAATAACTATAATATGAACACAGAAATAGCAGTGATGGCTATTGCTTCATGAGCGCTTACTAAGTGGTCGTCCCATGCAGAGAATTTACATTTATTTTATCATTTAAGGCAGGTACTATTACGATCTCTAGCTTTACCAATGAGGAAATTGAGGCAGAGAAGAGTTAAGTAACTTGCCAGGTCCCATGATCAGTAAGTGGCAGAGCCAGAACTTGAACTTGGGCAATCTGGCCTTATTCTCACAACCAGTATGGGTGACATCGAGTCTCCACCTAAAATACAGTTATGTAAGTTTTAAAAAAGTGAGTGGGTTGGAAGAAAAACAGTAAGTGCTAATAGTAAAAATGGTGTTGGGACATGCTAACATCCATGAAGGTGCCAGTAAATGACTGAATTTCCAAAAATAAAATGAAACCAATAGGCCAATTCCATGCGCACCCAAGGAAGGAGGCCCAGGGAAGGAAGGCACCTACCCAGGGCTGCACAGTAAAGTGGAAGCCAGGGGAACCAGGGCCCTGGAGGGAGCTGCGTGGAGTGGGGGGCATGTGGCAGGGGAGGGGTGCCGGCCTAATTGACTTCCTGTGTCTGTGTGGGCGGATGTTAGATGTGGTCCTCTAAATTCCTGTTCCCATTCCCACTGCTGTCATTAGGATTGCATGGGGGTGGGGTGGGGAGGGGTAACAACTACTGGAGTTTAGCCTTGCTTGGGGGAGCTTTGGAAGAGATTACCAGGCCAGATGAGCCAACCAATCTGCCAAATTAAAGACCTCCCTCCACCTCAGTGTGAAAATACCCCTCCTGGGCACGTGTACCTTCGACATTAAGTTCCTTTGGAACATCACCCCCTCTGAGCTTACCACCAAATCAGTGCCAGGTCCCTCTTTCCTTCGGAGTGGGGGCTGTCGGCATCCGTCCATTCATTCTACACATAGTGATGGGGGCCTGTCCTGTGCCCAGCACCGTGTGGGTGTGAAGACACAGCGGTGACACTGCCATTTGTCTAAACGCCCTAGGCCAGCGTTCCCTGTTTCATAGCCTCCTGGCATTAGAATCCTGCCGGGATGGAGAAGTGCCTTCCTCCTCTAAGGCCCTGCTTTACTGCCCCACCTCCGGGGACCTCTACTATGTAAGCGAAGGCCCTTATTTATTCTCCTGTTCCTTTACGTTCCTCAGCGATGGACGGACTCAGAGCTGGCAGCCAGTGTGGGGCAACCAGAATGGCCTCCACTCCGCTTCCTAAGAGCTGGAAAGCATATCCATGGACTCCGTTATTGTACCTGGATGGAAACCTCTGGCCTTGTCCAACTTGCCTATGTTACAGATGGAAAAACTGTGGCTGAGAGAGGAACATTTTGTTCAATTTTCCACAACATTTACTGAGCACCTATTCTGTGCCAGGGAATGAAGCCCCTAGAGGGACAGGAGCCAGTGCCTGCTGTGTTAGTTCCTATTGCTGCTGAAACAAGTGGTCATAGACTTAGTATCCGTGCAACGTGAATCAGTTGTCTTGCGGTTCTACAGAGCAGAAGTCCAACGTGCGTCTCACTGGGCTTGCATCAAGGTGTTGGCAGGCTGCATTCTTTTCTGGAGACTGTTGGGGAGAATGGGTTTGTTCGTGTTTGCCAGCCTCTAAAGCTGTTCACATTCCTGGGCTCTTCCTCCATTTCCAAAGCCAGTAGCGTCGCATCTCTCTGATCCTTCTTCCATAGTCACATTTCCCTCTGGGTCTTGCCTCTTCTGTGCCTCTTGCATTTTTGAGGCCCCTTGTGATAGGATGGAGCTCACCTGGATAATCCAGGATAGTCTCCTTACTTTAGATCAGCTGACCATCAACCTTTATTTCATCTGCAGCATTCATTTCTCTTTGCCACATAAGGTGACGTGTCATTGTGGCGGAAGCATGAGAAGGGCAGTGAGGCTGGAGGTGAGACTGGGGAGGTGCAAGGTCACTGAAGGCGGTGGGGAACCTTTAAGGTTTTGAGCAGGAGACTAAGGAGGTCAGGTTTGCATTTGAGAAAGGTTACTCTGGGATCCTGGTGGAGAATGGCTGGAAGTGAGGCTGACTAGAGGTTGGAAGCCAATGAGGAGGTGATTCAGTGAACAGATGATGGGGACCTGGATCAGGGTGGGGGCAAGGGAACAGAACAGAGCAGAGCAAATGTGTTGGGGAGCTGTTGGAAGGAAGATGACTACGCAGGATATGGCTGAGGGTTGTTTGATAAGCAGACTCCTGGGCCTAGCAGCTGACTGGATGGTGGAGCATCACTGATGGAGGGACACGGGGAGAGGAGTAGGTTTAGGAGGGTACTGTATTGAGTTTAATATGTTGATGGTCTGTGTCTGATGGACCTCTAGGGGAGGTGTCCAGAAAGCAGCTGGATATATGAGTCTGGAGCTCATATATTAATTATATTGACTTATATCAATTAGTTACTGCTGTGTAACAAACCACCCCAAAACTCAGTGGTAAAAAACAGCCGCCACTTACTGGGGCTTGTCTGATCTAAGCTCGGCTTCAGTGGTAGCTCAGCTCTAAAATGCAGGTCTACAGGTCATCCAGGTGGTGGGATTTGGGGATGCTGACCACCCCTTTTCCTCTGGCCCTGACCTGGATGCCTGCCTTCATTCCTCCATTCCACCTTGGATCAGAGAATGACATTTGAGCAAAGACATGCAGGAAGTGAGGGAATGAGGATGTCTTGAGGAAGAGTACTCTAGGCAGAAGGGACAGCCAGTGCAAAGGCCCTGAGGTGAGATTGTCCCCAGGGTATTGGAGAAACAGGAAAGAAAGCCAATGTGGCTGGTGGAGGTGAGCCAGGGGAAGGAACAGGAGAGGAGATGAGGGAGTTAGCAGGGGACTTAGTCATACGGGGCCTGGAAGGTCATAGGAAGTGGCCACTACCCTTGTAATTACTGCTACTATCACTTTTCACCCTCCTCTCCTGTCCCCCACAGGACCCCCCATCCCTGGACGCAGCCATCCAGAACGCCCTGGCAGGCCTCTATCCCCCGTTTGAGGCCACAGCGCCCACTGTCCTGGGCCAGGTGTTCCATCTCCTGGATTCTGACTTCCGAGGGGATGGGCTGCGCTTCCTCTTGGATTTCCTGATCCCTGCCAAGCGCCTGTGTGAGCAAGTACGCGAAGCAGCCTGTGTAAGTCAGAAGAGATGCCCTCCAAATGGAGCAGGGTGGCCCCTTGGCCTTTAGGCGTCCATCATGCTTGCACTTTCACTAGCAGGAAGGAAGCCTGGATAAAGGGCATCCGTGTGGGTTCCCTGGCCCCCAGGAGCCTGCCCTAGGGCTGGCATTGTGGGCATCCCCAGGCTGCCTTGGCTGAAGCAGAGCAGCTTCAATGTAAATAGCAGAGAATGTTCCAGACCTTTCCTGGAGCCCTTGAGGCCTTTCTCCCCAGATCCCTTCAAACCTACATGTCAAGAGGTATCTCCTGAGGCAAAATGGAAAGAAAAATGTTTTAGGCAGGACTCACTGACTGCAAATGACAGGTCCTTGCTCAGCTAGGGACAGGGTGATCTGGCCTCAGACCCAAATTTGTCCACTGATCAATTCCCTTAAGGACCCTTTCTGCCTCTGTCTCTGCTTCTCCTTGCTTGCTAGCATCATTCTTAGATGCTAGGTGTTCCCACAAGGCTGGAGCCCAGGACAGCTCTGGGATTAAATCCTTTCCTGGAGAGGAAAATGAATTCCTTCCCATCAGCTGCAGATAGAAAAATTGCAAGGAAGGATCCTGATTGGCAAGGCTTGGATCCTATGACCATCCCTGGACCAATCACAGCAGCCAGATTATATAAGATTATCTGGGATCTACTCAGTCTACAGACTCTTTTCCAAAAGCCAGACAGAGAATAAACTGTGTCAGTCTGGTGGAGAGTGGTTTCTGTTGTGGCCACACGGTATCACTGTTGAACACTGGTCTGGCAAAGCCCACTGAAGAGGCTCAACTAAATGGGATTACTGGGTCCAGGCCTGCTCCAGGGTAACTTGCTCTATCTACTACCTATATAGAAAATTTACTCGCATAAACTCTTCTAAAAAAATTTTTTTTAAAGTTTTGCCTCACCTGCCATATTGTTACCACTAATGGCAAATAAACAACTAATAAACAAATAAAAAAACAAACAAATAATAGACATTCAGGCCCAGAATAGTGGAATGGCTTTTTCAAAGTCATCCAGCAAATTAGAGGCAGGGTCAGATTTCCTGACTTTCACTCACTGTTGTTTCTATTTCGCTTTTTAATTTTCCTACTTAGAAATTAGAGAATGGCATAAAAGCAGTAAATGACCTCTTTTTTTTTTTTTTAAATTGAAAATCCCCACAATTTTTCATAGAATAAAGTTATCAAAGGGAGCAGGAATTAATATGTATTAAATGTATGCCTATTATATGCCAGTTGTTGTATTAAGTTATATATATATGTATATATATATATCATTGCCCTTATTTCTCATACCAGCCTAATAATCCAAATATGCATCATTATTCTTATTTGCAGATTGGAAAAATGAGACTCAAAGAAGTTAATTAATTTGCATACATTTACAATTCAGACCTTGGAGCCCAAGTTTCCTTACAGCAGAAGGCTCAGGCTTGAGCTGGGTTGAAAGGAGTTTGGATAGTGGGGGAGGAGAAGGGAGCATGTCATGGGATGATCCTTATGGGAAAGGTGTTTGCTAACTAGTGCCTGGAACTCAAGCTTTTCTCCCTCAGGCCCGTAGGCTAGCAAGTATTTTTAAGGTCAAGGCCAGGACCAGGGTGAAGCAAGAGGCACCAAAGGTGCAACATTTCAGAGGCACTCACTCTCAGGGCTGTGTGACTTGCAGGACCCTGACATTGGATGCTACATCCTAGGCACCTCTCTTGCCTCACCTTAGCCCCCAACCTGTTCAAGATTCCTTCTTGGAGAGGGAAGGGAGCAGACCCACAGGTGGGGTTTTCAGGGCCAGATTCTCTGACATCATCCCCTTCTCTCTGCAGGCCCCCTACACACACTGCCTCTTCCTGCATCAGGGCTGGCCGCTGTGCCTGCAGGACAAGGTTGTGGTCCACCTGGCCCCCCTCAACCCCCTCTTATTGCGCCAAGGTGACTTCTACCTTCAAGTTGAGCCCCAGGAGGAGCAGTCCGTCTGCATCATGATCAAGTGCCTCTCCTTAGACCTCCGCACAGTGGACATGAAGCCTGTTCCTGCGTCATCCTACTCCACACTTTTTTCCCAGGAGTGGCTGGAGGCCTTCAACAATGACTTTGAGAGAAGTCCCCTACACAACTGCCTAGTAGCTTCAGAAGAGGGGGTTGTTCCTATACCCTGGACCAAGATAACCAGCCCAGAGTTTGTGAATGACAAACCCCAAGCAATGACTGTCCTCTCCCCAGCCTGGGGTTCTCTTCAATTAGAGGCACTCGATTTGAGTGGCTCTCAAGAGCTGCACCAGGCCAGGTCACCAGGCAGCCAGACCCTTTTTGGCCAGAGCTTGGCCAAGGGTAAGGGCAGGACACATGGGATTAAATACCCCGGACTCATCAAGGTGGAGCAAGCCAGGCCTGGGGAGGTGGCCTTCAGGATGGACGATGTGGCCAGGCAGGTCTTAGAGGGAGATTATGTGGCTCTCCTGGACTTTTCCCAAGAAAGCAGAGGAGAATCTCCAAGTGGGAAGGTGGACACACCCCATGGGTGTCCTCTTGGGGCACTGGAGGAGCTATCTGGCACTAAAGAAATCCCTTTCTCTCAAAAGATGCTGCCTCTCTCAGGGGACAGTGAGGAACCTTCTCTGGAAAAGTGTGCTTGTGAAAAGATGGCAAGCTTGGAGGAGGAGCCCTGCGCTTTGGGCTTGCGGAGAAAGGGCAACCATAGAGCCCCCTCCCACAACTCAGAAGGCCAGCCCCAGGAACCCTACCTCAACGTCCTCGAGAGCCCACTACACTGTGCCTCTGGCCTCAGGACAGATGCCTCAGAAGAGGCAGCTGCCTCCAAGACACAGGGACCCCTGGGAAACCCAGAGAATATGGAACAGCTCAGGCCTGGACCAGAACAAGCAGCCTCTCCCCGGCTATGCCCAGCTTCTCCTCCTGCTGCTCCAGCCCTTGAAACCAAAATGGGAGAGAGGACCAAAGAAGGGAACGGCAGATTTCCCAAGCCTAGGACTGGCCCTAGTCGAAACACATCCTCTTCCAGATCCCCAACTCTTGGGCTCAAATTCTCATTCTTGAAGGGGCAGAGGCAAGCTCCCAGGCCCCCAGAGAAAGCCCCGCTCCAGCATGATGGGCCCCGGAAGGTCTTGTGTTCACTCTACTCTCCCAGACCCAACCGAGCCAAGTGCTTGGGGAAAGGTAAGGTGCCACTTGCTTAGCTGGACAGGGGAACTGTTCTTGGATGGGATCAAGAGACAAGGTGGTGCGGGCTGTCAGGGACAGAGACCACCTGGGCTGCTCAGTCTCAGCAGTTCGGAGCATGAGGTAGCATGCCAAGGGGCTTGAAGTCTTTTGGTTCTGGAATCGAGCAAGGTGTTATGACAGCCTGAGTCCGCACCCCAGGTTCACCACACACTGGCTGGGTGACCTTGGTCAAGGTGACCTCTCAAGGTTCAGGTCTCCCTCTCTGAGTAGTGGGAATCTCACCTGCCGTACAGAGTTGCTTTGCGGTTCAGAGACACCAGGAGGAAGGAGCTTTGCACAATGCCTGGCACACAGTAAGAGATCAATAGTTGTGATGATTATTAGTCAGAAGGACATTCCCCATCCCCTTCTGGGGAAATCCATCTTCTGCTTTACACCCTTTCTTTTGTTGTTGCTTTTCTCCAGCTGGAACAACTCAGACAAAAACATCTGGCTCAGCTGCTGACTCAGGCCCACTGACTGGAGAGAAGGCTGATTTCCCAGAAGCTTCTACAGGCCCTCCAGAGAGAGGCCCCACTCTGGATGAGGAGCCGCCAGGGCCCGAGCCCAGGATTGGGGCTCTGAGTATGGAGATCGTCCACTCCAAGATAGCGTGCCTGCCAGGTCCTCGGGATTATAGGGGCTGGTGAAGGGTAGGGCGTTTGGGGTGGGAGTCTCTGAGCATCCTCAGATGCTGGTGGGTGTGGAAGAAGACAGGGAAAGTTCTGGAGGCCTGTGTTCTGGACCGAGCCTTCCTGGGACTCAAGTTTCTCATCTTTCCAATGAAGAAGTTGAATTATACATATAAAAGCAATTTATAGGTATCCATCCAAACATCCATCCATCCATCCATCCATCCACCCATACCCATCTATCTACCCATCCAAACATATATATATATATGTACAACCATTCTACTTTCAACGAGGCAGGCAAGGTGGGTGTCTTAGGTCAGGTTCCCTAGAAGCTGAACCAGAGACAGGGATCCTTATGAAAGTGATTTATTTTATTGAAGGTTGCCCCCAGGGAAGGGGAGTGAGGGAAGCAGGTCAGGGTTGGGGAGGAACTAAGCAAGGTTGTGGCCTGATCCCACAGAGCTGGTTCCATCTGAAGGTGCAGGGGACTGGCCTTCTGTGCCTGCATCTGTTGGTCAACAACTGAGGCTGATCCTGGGATGGGTGCAGGGTGAGCCCATGATCCAGTTCAGCCCAGGGTAGTTCTTCAGAGAAGAGGGCATCTATGAGCCATTTACAGCCAATACTTATAGCTGTGGGGGGATGGGTGCTCTAGCCTGATGGGGAGGTCTGGGGGGGCATTAACAGCATCTAGCACATTATTAATATTTATTCACCTTTGCAGTTAATATTTACTGAACACCCGTTGTGCGCCAGGCCCTGAGCGTAGCACTGAGGATTCAGCAGGGATCAAGTCTGATGTGTCTCTGCTCTTAGGAAGCCTGTATTCTAGTGGTGGAGAAAATCAACAGGTTATTACAACTCAGTATAAAAAACCTTGTGACCATGAGGCCATACAGGGGGCTGCGGGAGGACAGATGTCTGTGTGACCCCAGAGCTCATTGCACGAGCTTCTCCTCCCAGGGTGCCCAGGACAGAGGGAGTCCAGAGAAGGGTGAGGCTACCTCTGCATGGAGGAGGAATTCAGGGATGACATTTTGGAGGAAGTGGCTTTTGAGCTGGGTTTTGAAGGATGAATAAAAGTCCAGAGTTAACGGGGGGAGGGTGGGGAGAGAAAGGGCATTTCCAGCAGAGGGACCAGTGTGGGCAAAGGCCTGGAGGCCACAGAGCAGGTAGAGAGGTTGCACCAAAGCTCTCACTGTGCACATGTGTCCTCTCTCCTCCAGGCGGTCGGGACAGGGAGGGGCGGCCCCTGCTTCTGGTGTCAACCACCCAGGAGGCCTGGGAGACACCATGGTGCACAGCCTCAGAGGTCACCAAGCTGCTTTCCTACCTGTGCGCTGTCCCCAGGTAAGAGGCTGGGCTGGCTGACCACTCCACCCCGCCCACTTCTCAGCCCAGAGCTCAGGACAAGGCACTGAGTAGAGAGACACCATATCCTTCCCAGTCGTCTGTTCCCAGAGCCAGTTCCCAGCTGGATGCTGGAGACAAAGCAGGACACATTTAGTCCTGGCATCAGGATCTCAGGTTGGTCAGGAAGACAGGCGATGAGCCAAAAATGAACCATGGGTGGCAACTCTCAGGAGTGTTGTGCGGTGAAGAAAACTGGGCTGCTGTGGGCCAGTGGTTTTCAAACTGGAGCTTGGGTCAGAGTCACCTGGAGGGCTGTTAAAACCGATCGCTGAGATCCACCCCCAGAGCTCCTGGTTCAGTAAGTCTGGGGTGGGGCCTGAGATTGGCATGTCTAACAAGTTTTCTGGTGATCCTGATGCTGCTGGACTGCAGACCACCGGTTGTAGAGTGAGAAGGGCGAGGGGACTAATTCCAACTGGAAGGCTTCTCCGAGGAGGTGATAATTGAGAGCTGACATCTGAATTATAAATATTTGTTGAACAAATAGAGGGTGATTGAGTGAATGAATGAATGAATGTGTGAGAGAGTGAAAGAATGAGTGAGAGATTGAGTGAGTGATGAGTGATCTGGGCTGATTTCTAACCCCCACCCCTTCGGACCTCCTCTGAGTCCCAGCCCTAATCAGACAGCCTCAAAAGTGGTGTTTGCTCAGGGCTATGGCTACAGACCCCAACCCAACCTAGAGGTTCTGCTGCTAGGGGCAGGGGGTGGAGGGACTGACGGAACCTTCTCCATGCATGCCACCCCATGGGAGGCATCACCACCATCAGCTGGCCGCTGAGATTTTTCTTCTTCTTATCCAAGGTGGAGTGGCTTTTCTGATCTGACAGGGAGATGGGACCCCCTATTTGGTGCTGAGAAGTGGCCAGTGTGATACACAAAACCCTGGAATCCCACTAACTTGCTGTGTGACCTTGAGGCACTAACCTCCCCTCTCTGAGGCTCACCTGAAAATAGGGGGATGACCAAGTGGGCTCTGAGGACCAAGTGTGTCCGTAAGAGGTGGGGGTCAGCCGCTGTGTAGGCTGCAGGAGGTGGTGCACTCGGGGCTCCTGTGTGCTGGGCTTGCTTTCCTCTGCTGCTGTAACCGACATTGCTGGGCACCTGCTCTGGGCCTGGCTTCGTGCTGGGGCACTCTAGGGACCCAGAGGCTCCTCACAGTGGGTCCTGTGCCCTAGGGGCCTCCAGGCTGGTGGCTGAGGTGTGGAAACAAATTACTCTCTCAGCAGGGGCATAGCCAGAGGCAGACGAGGCGGGTGACATGCAGTCAGAGACCTGCTGTCACCTGTGAGAACCTCTTCTCACATTGAAGCTCTGTGCCTCAATTCTCACATTGAAGCTCTGTGCCTCAGTTTCCCCTTGAAAGATGGTAATAATAGCAGACATTTACCTCCCTCTCACTCTGCGCAGTCACTGAGTGCTTTACAGTAATGAATTCATTGGTGTTCACCGTAGTCCCATGAGGCCAAAACCAGCATTACCCCCATTTACAGATGGGGAATGGACTCCCGGCCAAATGAGACAACCTGCCCAGGTGACCAGATACTGCGGCGGTGCCACAGCTCCACCCCTCGCTGGCCACCTCTGGTTCTGTCTGCGAACTGGCTCGTTGTAAGGCTTGAAGGCAGTGGGTTTATTTTCCCAACCTGCCTGACTGGCAGGATGGCCGAGGGCACTTGGAAGCCCACAGGCTTCTGGCCTCACCCTTCAGGCCCAGATGTCTGGGGGGATGGGGTGAGAGTGGGGTGAGGGATCGGTATTTTAACAAGTCCCGACAATTGGTCAGTTTGGGAAATCGAAGGTGATTGCTGAAAGTGCAGTGCGAATGAGTTAGGGTGTTTTGGCTGCAAGTAACAGGTTCCAATTTAAAATGTCTCTCCTGGTAAGGAAATTTATCATTCTGCGTCTCTGCCTTACAGCTCTTTGTAAGAACTTCTTGAAGGAGAGACTTCTTTCCCAGAGACCCCCAGCGAACTTCTCCTCAGGTCTCATTGGCCAGAAATATGTCCCATGACCCCTATCTAAACCAATCATTGGCCAGAGGAATTAGATCTCTACTGTTGGCCTCAACCAATCAGAAACTAGCCCCTGTGGTTGGGGGGGGCACATGGTCTTATGGAGAAAGTTGGATTTTTTAACAAAATGAGAGTTCTGCCTACACAGAAAGGATGAGTGAGTGCTGGGTGACCTACCCACTGCGACTGGGATAGTGCTTATGGTTATTAGGGTGTAAGAGAGGGCTGTGTGTGGTACTGTGGGGGCACTGAAGAGAGAGCAATGGGCTCTGGAGAAGAATCATGGAGGACTTCCTGGAGGGAAGGGCATTGGGTCGTGGTCTTGCAGGATGAAGAGTCCACCAATTAATCAAGGCTTCTAGCAGCCAGTTTCCCTCACCTTCCACTAGTTCCTTCCCTCTAGAGGGCCTGGTTTATCCAGCAAGACTGCCAATTCTGTTTACCACCCACAGGCCAGAAGATAAAACCAAGGGGCTCGTGTTGATGATTGATGCCAGGAACCAGCCTCTACACCCTGGTCTGGTCAGTGCCCTCAAGGCCACCCAGGTGAGTGGCAGGTGGACAACATCAGCCTAGCAAGTCTTGGGGGCACCAAAGGCCTTCTGATATTCACGGAGCCCAGGGGGCTCAGAGCTGGGTCCAGGGCCCCCAGGCAGGGACTCCTAGTTGCAACTAGTAGAAACACCAGCCCAAACACGCTTAAAGAGAAAGGCTGTTCATTGGTTCATGTGACTTCACAGTCCAGGACTTAAATCCAACTTCAAGTATGGCCTGATTTGGGGACTCACATATTGTCACCAAGATCCATTTCTCTCCATTTCTGGCCCTGTTCTCCTGGGAGGGTGCCCTTCTCAGCCAGGCCCTGCTCTTGGTGGCAGTCTGGCTCCCAGAAGTTCACATGTCAGAGCTGCTAAGTTCTAACTTAGAAGAGGCAGAGGAGTTGCTGGGCTTTCCTTCAAGTTCAGTAGGAAAAAGTGAGAGATTCTTTCCCCAGAAGTCCCAGCAAAAGTTTCTTGTGTCTCCTTAACCCTGATTGGCTGGCTCAGGTGTCTGCCCATCAACCAATCTCTGTGACCAGGGGAATGCTTAGACTTAGGTCCCATGAACCTCATGACCTGAGGATGGGGGAGGGGAGAGATTCCTAACCAGATGGTATGACGGGCAGCAGATTAAATGGAAGTTTGGCTTATGCTTACCTTAGGGCCTGATCTCCTGCTCACTGCATAGATGGGGAAACTGAAGCCCAGAGGGGGCGGGTCATCTGGGACGTTTGCAACACAGCTTGGACCTTGATGTCCAAAGACACCCTTCACACATACCACACAAGGGTCCCAGCCTCAGGGACCCCTCCTCTTCCCGGCCCTGTGGCCTATTTGCTTGCACCTTGGTGGGGAAGCTCAGTGGCTCAGAGAAGGCCTGGGCAGAGCAGCTCTGAAATGCTTCTTTCCTACAGGCTCTGGACCCAGCTCCCATCAGTGCCATACTCTTCCTGGGCGAGAAGGAGGCTGCTCTTCCACTGGAGACATTACCTGACGGCCAGGTGAGGGGCTGGCAGTGTCAGCCGAGGTAGAGGAGATGCTGGGCTTGCGCTGAGCTGAGTGAAGATTTGCAGGAGTCACCAGCGAAGAGAGGCCCTGAAAAAAAGTAGTGCAAGTCAGCAAATACAAGGCTCCATGTGCTACAGCTTTCCCCCCGCCCCGTGTCACAGAATTATTCTCTCTGGCGATCCTACCCATGCCTGGTGGCACCACCGTGCAATTGAGAGCTGCACATGGCATGGAACCTTTTTGAAAAGCTGCATTTAGCCAACCACTCCCCCTTTCTTTTCACATGGGGAAACTGAGGCCCAAGGCCACACAGCAGGGTGGAGGCAGAGGTGCCTTTTCCTCCCAATCTGCCAGTATTTCTCTCCCTAGTTTCTCCCAGCATCTCCAGCTCAGATGCAGAGTTGATTTGGGACTTTGCAGGCAGCTCCCTTTAGTTAGTGCTATGTACTAACTAAAGTGTGGGCACCCTGTGCTCTGCCCTGCTTTAAGAAATGATTTTAAAGAGCCCCTTACTCCTGGTTAGTGACGAGGCACATTGTGAGCTAGAGATTTGCTTTTCAAGCTTTAACGTGCTTATGAGTCACTTAGGGATCTTGTCAAAGTGCAAGTTCCAATGAAATAATTCTGGCCGGGGCCTGGGGCTCTGCATTTCTAACATGCTTCTAGGTGATGCTGCTGCTGCTGGTCCATGGACCACACTTAGAGCACCAGGGATAACTAGTGGGACCCCTAAACCACAAACCTGTCCAGTTCCAAGTTTAGGTATCTGCCTGGGAGATGCAGTCACCTAGCCCCTCCTCCACGTTTTAGGGGAGACTTTTAGGATTTGGTGACCTTTCTCAAGAAGGAGACAGTACCTTGGTGGGTCACCAGAGAATGGTACAAGGATTACAAAGAAATTACATGACAAGGGCCAGCTTCAATCAATTTGTGCGATTGCCTGGAGAGCTGGGCTGGGTAAGAGCCCTGCTCAGAGGGAGCAAGTGCTGCGCTTGATTAATGATGTCTGCCTTGGGCGCAGGCTGGGAGAGTCTCAGTGCGAGTGCTGCCTATTGGCTGTTCCTCACCCAGGGTAAGGCTCTGAATTTTGATTTTTCAAAATTCCCAGAGAAGATTCATTGCCCAGGAAGCAACTCTTAAAGCCAGGGCCAGACTTACCTGTGGGAAGTGGAGTGGTGCTGGGGCCGGGATCTGGACAGGACCTTCTCAAATGTCTGTTCCCACACTAACTCCCGGTCCTCTTGACTTGCTTCTGTTGTCTACAGGTAGAGGTGCTGACCTCCATAAAGACCCTCAGCCACCACGTGGACCCCAGCCAGCTGCCCACAGCCCTGGAAGGCTCCTTCACCTACTGCCACAGCGAGTGGGTGCAATTCTTCCAGGTGTCGACCGTCACAGCCTTTAACCCTGTCCCTCACTCCCTTTCTTCCTCCCTTCACTATCCTGTCCCATCGGTCCATCCACACCATCAGGTTCAAAACTAGTCATTCAACAAACGTTTAAAATGAAAGTGCAGAGTGGAGTGATTGAGAGCTCAGGCTCTGGGGCCCTACTGCCTGGGTTCCAACCCCAGGTCTGCTGTGTGACCTTGAGTAAGTTACATACCTTCTCTGAGCCCTTTTCCTCATCTATAAAAAGGGGGGTCGTAATCACAGTACCTCCTCTGGGGGCTGTTGTGAGCAGTAATTGAGTTAATGGGAGTAAAGAGCTTAGAAGAGTGCCTGGCACAGGTTAAGAGCTATGTGTATGTTAACTGAAAATAAACACAGATATCTGCTCTGTGTACCCAGCAAACAGCTCAGGAGCTCAGGGTCTGGTGGGGGAGGCAGACACACTCCCTCTTGAAAGAGGGAGGAAATAAAGAAACTGCCAGCATGGGGCTCCTTTCCTGTGTGGCCTCAATCCCTCTTCACCGCAGCCCTCGAGGGGGCATTTCATGCCCAGGTTAACATGAGAACACACAGGATGGGCTGGCTCACACAGCAGGACGCAGGAGATTACCAGCACAAACTGCACTGAAGCCGTGTCCATCAGCGTCCACAGGGGCTTCCTCTAGACCAAGGCTGCTCGGCCTCAGCACTATTTATATTTGGGGCCGGATAATTTTGTTGTTGAGAGCTGTCTTGTGCATTGCAGATGATTAGCACCATCCTTGGCCTCTGCCCACTTTGACCATGACAACCAAACTGTTTCCAGACATTGCCAGTGTCCCCTAAGGGGCAACATTATCCCCACTGAGAACCACTGGTCTATAACAATCTACAACGTGGTCCTCTTCTTTGTAAAATCATGTCTGTTTAGAAATAGGCAGTATGTTCAAAATTCAAGCGGTACAAAAGGGCACTGAAAAATCTCCTTTCCTACTTGTCCCCTGGGCCCCAGTCGCCTTCTCCAATCAATTCAGTGACTTTCAAACTATGCTTTTGTTTTAAAACCTTCCGTTTAAATGAAATCTTATCTATAGACCCAGAATATAAAACTGGTAATGATGTTTGATCCTCATACCAAGGCAAGAATTACTGTGATCCCATTTTACAGAGGAAGAAGCAGAAGCACAGAGAGGTTAAGTAACTTGCCCAAGGCCTCACAGCGAGTAAGTGGTGGAGCTGGGCTGAAGTGGGACCCAGCAGAGGATGTCCCCCCACCCTTGCCCTCCATCTCCCCTCCCCTCTCCCCCAAGGCATCCCCGCTGGCCTGGGGATTGCTTAGGCCTGTCTTCTCCCTCTCTCAATCCCCACACCAGTGGTTCTCAAAGTGTATTCCCTGGACCAGGAGTGTGGGCATCATCTGGGAACTTGTTGCAAATTCACTTTCTCAGGCCCCGCTCCAGAGGAACTAATCAGAAACACAGGAGTGGGGCTCAGCAGCATGGATGTTAGCCAGCTCTCCAGGTGATGCTGATGCAGTTCGAGTCTGAAAACCACCACCTAATGCCCCCGCTGTGTCCTCCTGGGTGGGGGAGGTGCCCTCCTCACTGGCCTAGGCTGACATCCCCACTCTGGCCTTCTGTCCTACAGAAGTCGGATCCTTTCCTTGCTGACCTCCGCCGGGCCTCCTCCTTGCTACAGGCGTCCATCAAGGAGTTTGAGAAGGGTGACCTCCCTGGAGGGGCACAGGTGAGCCAGAGCATGGAATGGGGAAGTCATGACGCACCCCAGATTCCACAGACCGAGGGCTCACTGAGGAGGACAGCCAGGCTGGGCATGATCGTCTCTGTCTTTCATTCATTCATTTGACAAGTATTTATGGGACACTCACTATGTGCACCCAGAGACCCAGACTGGGGCAAGCTGACTTGTCCCTGCCCTCATGGGTTCATGGAACAGTGGTAGAGGGAGTTGTTAAAAAGTGAACAAAGAAATGGACATCTAGTTACAAATTGTGCCAAATGCTGTGAAAATAAGATTGAGTATAATGGGAGGGGGGCTCCTTGAAGGTTTGGTATTTAAATTCAGGCCTGAAGGATGAGAAGGAGGAACAGGAGGGGTACTGGGCTCCAGGTGGAGAGCAAGCATGTGCAAAGGCCCCGAGGTGGGATTGTGCTTGGTATGTTCAGGAATAGCATGAAGCCAGTGTGGAACAGAGTAAGTTGGGGGAGAGGGGTGAGGAGAAAACTAGAAGATCTTCTGGATCCAATGGGGACTGTATCAAGGAGGAGCTGGGTTGGGGATTTCCTTCTAAGCGGGCGGGGAAGCCACTGGAGAGTTTTAAGCAGAGGGACTAAATTTGCACTTTGAGATCCTTCCAGATCCTGTAGAGAACAGACTGCAGGGGGAGCCAGAGTGTAGCAGGAAGACCAGTGAGGAGGCTGGGATGGATGTGCTGGCAAGAGATGATGGCATGCCCCCATCCCCCACCCCCCACCTCCTGGTGGGGCTCAGTTGACTGAGTATTGTCCCACGCACCAAGAGGTCACCAATCTGATTCCAGGGCAGGGCACATGCCTAGGTTGTGGGTTCGATCCCCTGTAGGGGGCGTGCAGGAGGCAGCTGATGAATGTTTCTCTCTCATCAATGTTTCTCTCTCTCCCACTCCCTTCTTCTCTCTCTAAAAAGCAATAAAACATATTTTTTTTTTAAAAAAGAGAAGGAGATGATGGCACTTGGACCAGTGAAGTTGCTGTAGCAATGCGAGGAGTGGCTTGAGGAGATATTTTAGAGATTGAAAGAATAGACTCTCTGTAGGACCTTGAATGCTAAACTAGGGGAGTTGGGCACGATCAGGGTGTGGGGAGCCCTGGTAAGTTTAGAGGGAGAGTGGGGATTGGATCTCAGGCCACCTCCCTACACTGGCAGGAGGCCTCCAGGTGTCTGAACAAGTCCAAAGAGCTGATGGAGGCTGTGCTGAGGGACCCAGGTCTGCTGAGCCTGCAGCGGGAAGGCGGAGCCACCCTGGCCAGGCTGCAGCAGGAGGCCAGCAGGCTGGACTTCAACCCAGATGTCAGGTACAGACACCCAGCCTTTCCCTCTCCCACCCACCCTGTTTCCTGGATGGGGGTTTGGAGCTGGGGATACATAGGTGGGCCCTGCAGATGCCCAGAGTAAGGATGTACACAGGGCCCATATTATCCTGTCCCTTCTCTGCTGCCCTCCTTCAGCCCTGGTCATCTTCAGCCTGGGGTGGGCATTGGAGGACAGCCCTGCCTGTTTCTGGTCACACTCATAGACCAAGCACTTTCTCTGATCCAGATACTGAGCTGAGCCTGTCCAGGAGAGCCTCATGGTGGGTGAGGGGTCTCAGAGTTACAGAATAAATATTCCTGGAAAGAACACACAGTTCCAAAGTTTGCATAAACTCAAGGACAATTTGTTTATTTAACCAGTACCTAAATAGCACTTAGTATGAGCACAACATTGTTTTAAGGGCTTTGCAAATAGTAACTCGTTTAATTCCTACCCATGCGGTAGATCCTAGTAGTATCCTCATTTTACAGTGGAGGAGCCTGAGGCTCAGAGAGAGGTTAGGTGACTTGCCCTGGGTCCCACAGCTGGGATGTGGTGGGGCCAGGGCTTGAACCCAGGCATCTTGGCCCAGAAACTTGAACACAGCACCCTGAGCTGTGCCCACAGGCAGTCATGCTGACATGAACACTGGGCAGCAGTGGGCCCTGGTGCCAGGTGTGGAGTTGTCTCCCTGCCCCTCATGCAGCCTGATGGTGCTGTGATTCCCAGAATGTCCCCATTTCAATGGCTGGGTGCCAGGCCCCTATTGTCAACCAGAGGCCCCTCCAGGCCACTGCTCACTGAAAGCTCCACCAGGGGGCGCTGTGGTCCCATGTGAGCCGCTATGCAGGTTAGTTCTGCAGATGGGTCCCTGCTGCTCCAGCCTACTGCTCCTTCCCCCCTCCCTCTGCCAGGCAGGGGCATTTTCCATCCCATTCATGCACCCTGAGCCTTCACCTGGAAGGGTAGTGACCCATGGGGAGTGGCAGTCAGGTGGGGAGGCCCAGAGCATGACTCCCTCCAGGCAAGCAGGTTTTTCATTCCATCTCTTTCCTTTTCTGTCTGAAGTAACCCCCACCCCACCCCCCAGGGCAGAGGAGGGTGGATGGGATTTGAGGGGTGCTGGAAAAGTCTCGAGATTCCTCCCTTTACCCAAGTGTTACCAGTCCTGGATCCCCTCCACAATCCTTCATTTATGCCTTGCTGGCTTGACCATTTTTAAAAATTATGTTCAGAAAAAGCTGTGGGCTGGGTTCCAATTCAGACTGCCATGCTTGAGAGTCAGTTCCTCTCTCTGGACCTCAGTTTTCCCATCTCTAAAGTGGAACCCAGGTGAGGGGGTCTTATAGCTACTCACTTTCACTGCAATAGAAATAACAAGCAGCAAACACTGTGCTAAGTGTTCTGAATATGTGAAGGCTGGTTCTCAGCCCTGGCTGCCCTCCCCCCCATCCCCTCC